AATGAGAAAACCTTTAGATTTAGGAAATAAAACTTCTATCCACAGACATTCAATATCGTCTAGCTCTAAGTCCAATCTTCGATGATACGGCACTGAAGATGAGATATAGGCGCCAACTCCACCGCCCTTGGCTGATTTTCTTGGTTTGCTAATAAAAGAATAACCATCAATTTGTGCTTGAGGTTAATCATCAGTTGATAGATGTGTCTCACTGAGTGATAGAATTTGTATTTTGTGAAAATCGTCCAGAACCCGGCAGACGTTGTCTTTGTTAGCCAACAGCCCTCTGATGTTTTGATGAAGTATCGATAAACCCTTCTTTGAGAGCATGTCATGAAGCTCAGGCAGAGTATGACTCGGTGAAGTAATAGGGCAAGGATTGACACTGATATCTCCAGCCATAAGCAACAAATGGAATGCTGCCAAAGAGACCTTAAGTAGACGCAAACCAATTTTATGCCGACAAGATGGCGGCACAATGTGGCCATTCGAAAGGTGGTTTGTAGACTTGCTTTGTTTAGGACTATTATAGCACAAAGGGTTTCGAAACTGTAGAATTGGCTTAATATCATCCTTAGAAGACCAGGGAGGTGAAATAAAGGAATCCAACAAAATGATTACGTGCAGAAGAAGAATCAGAGTTACGGAGCAGTATAAGAAACGGCAACCCGCTTTGTTCAGCACGTGCTAAACTAGTCCAGTTCAGCACAGTCCTCTTTTTCTAATTTACAAGAGAAACATTCAAGCTATCATTAAAGTAACTTTCAGATTGTGTGCTTTGATTCCTTCCTTTTTCGCTCTCTTCCCGGGCATTTTTCACGGGATGAAAAAATGGATTTGCACAAATTTGCACTCGGCAAATGTTTCGCAGATATATTACTAAAACTGAGAAGTACAAATCTGGGGCAAACATACGCTGTTTTTTGTATGCAAATGTGGCATTTACCATCTTTGCCAATGAGCGCTTACCATTTGTACGGAAATTTCAGTGAACAATTTCCGTCAAATGGCACTGGTATATTTTTTGGCACCGAAAACAGGAACGGGATTGAATTGTACCATTTACAAAATACCTGTAAATTTTTCGCTTTCTCTCGGCTTGAAGCCTAGCACTGGTAATCCAGACAAATGGTACAGAAAATTTCGGTCGTTTGGATAAAAACGGGAAAAAGGTAATACCTCGAAAGGTATTATTTACTTTTTTCCGGAAAATTTTCAACGGGATGAAACGTTCCATTTGAATTCTCCACGGAATTTCCCGGTCTTCCATACAAATCCAAGCGCTCAATTTCTTTGCCATATATTTACTCCTTAGTATTTACATTTATTTGCAACATGATTGCAAGGAGCAAATTTGAGTAAATCCATTTTTTCGTCCAGTGTTTTTGGCTTCCAGAAAGCTCTGGAACAGGACACCGCGTCCTCTTCGGTTAGTGTCGTTCGTAGAAGAAACGTTCCAAGCGCGTGTGACAGAGATTTGGTTCTCTAGCAAGAGTTCGCCTTCGGCTCGTGACTTTAAACCCGATAAAACACTGCTGCTCGTTTATCAAACATTACGTAAATACAGAGGACTCCTTCTTATTCAGTGAGATGCAGTTCGTTGTTGGCCGGCACTGTGTCACGAAATTTAAATATAAAAATAACCACTCAATATGGAGAATGTATAGATAAAGAGTACAAAAGTTAGGCGCGAATCGACTTGTTAGCAAACGCTATTAGAACCTGTTCCACTTCGCTGCATTATTCCAAGAAAAGTCTTGTCAAGTCTCAAACTGGAATCGGCTGACATGTTACACCAAATTCGCTGGCAATCTTCTCGGCAGTTTCTAGAGTGCTCCATTCTAGCTTACGACCTTGTTTTATCTCTCGTCCGACTTGGTTATAATGACGTTCTAAAACTTGCAAGCAAGTTTGGGTGATGTTACCCTTGCATGGGTGATTTCTATTACCCATCTGAAGATCGTGGACAAAAAAAATTAAATTATCACTTGGCGACAAGGTACGATTAGAGCATATATCCAAATTATTTCCTGCTGCTTTGTGAGATAAACAGTAACTAGCTAGGGTATTTTTGCTGAATCTAGGACCAGCCCAACCATGATAACCTGTCTGAGGCTCGGTAAGAACATCTTGTACATGTTCTGGCGCAATGGTTTGGCCACTTGGAAACCTTTTGTTATATTCTGCTAGGTCGTTGCAGATTTTAAAATTCCAGTCGTAGCGATCTCTCTCAAAGTAAAATGCATAACTGAGTATAACGCTAACTGGAGAGATAAAGTCCTTGTAAAACATTCTGAAGGCCTCTTCAAAATTATTTGTGTTTAAATGTTTCAGGATATGCTGTCTGCAATGAGTGACAGTGTCCCGGTACATATAAACCGGAAAATAAGTCATAAAATCAGCGACAAATGGTACTCCTAGTGCCAGTTGTGAAGTATGTGCCCAGGAATGTACCCAGCTCCTACCGGAGTCCTGTAATGTACAGCCTGTGCCTAAGACTCGTAACTTTGTCCCATTAAAAATTGTGGATTTTGTTACTGGGGTGAAAAAGGCTGAGTCACTGTCCATCCACGCAATGACAGTGTCATTTGAAAGCAAGTCGATAAAGAAACTGCTCCAAAGCTGTCTGTTGTAACCGGCTGGTTTAGGCGAGCCTTGAAACGCCAGCGTATCTTGTTTTTTTGGAAGAGGCTCATAAAAGAATTCAAGTTTACGATCAGGAAAGTATTTTTGAGCTTGGGTTTTTAACTTTTCGGCAAATTCATGATCCTCTTGTGATTCCTCATCAAGTGCTATGACAAAATTTCCAAACGAAGGAGGCCAGAATAGAACGGCAGTCCTGAACACGTTACAGAAATAACGTTCCCTGTGATCTGGTCGCTTGCCAGACATTCTCACAAACAGACTTATTGAGGTGTCTGGGGTCTCTTTTGTTGTCCTTGGGGTCTCCATCGTTGTCATCCCTTCGCTCGCCACGAGTCTTTCGCGGGTTTTTTGGCTGTGGTGAAGAGGTGAATTTATTGGGATCATATGTGTTTTAAGAATCATCATAACCGAGAGGGAAATAAGGAGGCAGGCGAGAACGAGTGTTCTAGTCCTTCTAAAAACCATTTTCTAGGCAGTTGTAGAGATTTCTTCGTATGGACACTGTGTGCTACAAAAGGGGATAGAAAACAGATTAAACTTGTGAGTCTAACGCCTGACGCACCCGGTGAGTGCTGTCGCGTTGAACGTTACGTCTTTAATTTTTTAATTTTTAATTTTGTCCTCTAGCTCGTATCTTAATTTACGTTTACCCTTCATAAATACATCACTGGAACAAGACTGTGGTAGTTCTTGTGATAAGCAATGGTAACAGGACTGAGTGGAGTCCAATTCGGTCTGTAATCATACGAATTAACAAAATCGGACGACCGCGAAACGGGAGTCCGATTTGTTTAATCATGAGTATGATTACAGAGCGAATTGGACGACACGAAGCTCTGTTACCAATTAATCATAACTTTAACAAAATTTGTGATATATATAAGCCTCTTTCTTTAAATCAAGACACAAGAAATTCCAAGGCCTCTTTTTTTGCCAGCAGTGAAAAAAAGCCATTTAAGGGCGAGGGTGATGGCGCGTACTGACCAGTTACTTAGGCATGACGCGTAGAGTCCTATTAAGGCTGAAATCAGTGCAGTTGATAGCCAATCAGATTTGAGAATTTTGATTATTTATGTATGCAATTACTGTTAAATTCTGACAATTCTTGGAAAACCCTGAAAATTCCCGGAAACTTGTTTTTTTGGGAATATCTACCTTTAAAATGTTCCTGTTCCCGGGAATTGCCGAGAATTCCCAGAATCAAAAAGGAAACCATTTCATTCTCAAGAATTCCCGAGAATTTTTAGCCCGTTTCTATTCCAATGTAATCCCGAGAATTTTTAGCTAAGGAACTTGGGGGGTTGGTGCAAAGAAACGCGGAAGAATTTTCCTGGAATGCATGATTCTCGGGAATTCTCGAAAAATCCCAGGATTTTGTTGAGACAGTTCGAACTGTTTGCAGTACAATCTGGTACAAGTTGTTTTTATGAAATAAAGGTTGCAAAGTGTAAGCAATATGTACATTCATTAGAAGTTTAGCGTAAACGTATTAAATACAAAATTTAAGACTTGTTTTCAATCTTCAATTCCTGTTGCCATCGCAACGATCCAAATAACCATTTTTAGCTGATACATATGTCTTGTTTTTTAAATAAATTTTTACCTGCAACGAGCCTTAAATAACACCCAAGTGAATGCATGGCAACGATCCACAACCTATCAAACTGTGTTCAGCCACCGTAAACAAGTACGTTGAAGCATCATGATTATAGAAATGTCAATGAACACACTTTATTTGAAAGCTGTTGAATATAACTTACACTAAAGCACTGCAATCAATTAAGATTTTGAACACTAATTGAAGGAATTGTTGATTTTTACTGAAATGCAATTGAAAACGCAAAAATTAGAACCAAAAGCAAATGAATTTAAAAATCATGAATATCGGAAAACATTTTCTTTCAAGGGATCTTTGAAATCTTCGAAAATCTTACACCTCAATTTTTCAAGCCCAACTGGAAATATCATCCACAAAATTTGCAGTTTTGGTTTCTAAGAAGGCTCCTATGCAGCACCATATAGGAGCTAATTGAATAGATAATCTGATGGAATGTTGTGCTTTGTTGCCGCTATAACTAATATTCGACTCCTGTACGTGTTTTTTTAATCTACGTTTCACTGTGACAGAAAAACAAGCCAAAAAAGAGGTTACGTACGAGTATTGTACCTAAGAAACAAAAGAAATAAATACTGGTAGGCTGCATGGCGCTTTGAAAAGTAAGACAAGGTAAATTGTTCATTAAAAAGTAAAGTATGAACAAAAGTTTTGTTTTTGTATGGATTTGTTATGTGTTAAACAATAAAAATGGAAGCGATGAAACTGAAATGTTCGTAGTGAGCATGTTGTGACTTGAAATTATTAAAACGAATTTTGTTTGGTGTTCGTTTGGGATTTATTACAAAAATTCGTTCGATTCGGAAAATATCTATGGGTGGGGGAAATATCATAAAAAACAATTTGACTTATTTTACTTGGTGTTCAACTCCTACGTAT